CAATGAGACTAAATAAGCAACAGCAGATTTTGAACAAACTGAAAAATTTGACCCATAAAAATATATAAAAATTTCTTTGCAGTAACTGGACAGAATAAATTAAAGTTTTCTACACTCCTAGACACCATAATTGCACAAAAAAATAGTTTGTAAATGCAAAAAAGTGCATTTAGCATGATCTGTCTCCTTTAAAAGTCTGACCAAGAACCACTCAATCAACACCATGTGACCGTCGCTTTAAATGTTACTTTTTGTCTTTGATGCAAATAAACTTAAAGGAACTACAGACAGATCATGTCCAACAGAAAACTGGATTAGTTGGTAACAAAAAACATCTAAATAAACTGAAAGAATTAAGTGCAGTGTCAGACAAATATTTGAACACATCAATGATTTTATTTAAAATAATCGATTAAAACAGTTCCTCTGCAGGTGATGGACATTTCTCCMGGCTGACTCACCGTGGACAGCGATGGTCTTCCTGTCCTGCAGGATGATGTTGCCGGCAGACACCTGCACGGTGACCGTGCTCACGCCCTCTCTGGAGAACGTGCACGCCACGCTTCCCTCCAGGCTGATTAAAGGCTGCTGAGAACACACACACACACACACACACACACACACACACACACACACACACACACCAGAGTGATTCTCTGTGACTCCAACAGCTCCTTTCTTTCAGCAGAGTGGGACTTCCTGTAACAGTTTCTGTATTTGTTGTAACTTCTTTGTTTTATTTTATTAACTTTTATTTAACMACATAGATCCCACTGAGATTACAGATTTTATTTTCAAGTAGACCGTCTTGAAATAAGCAACATGGTTTCTGGATTGTAGGAGAAAACCTGAGTACCTGAAGAAAGCTCACACAAACCCSTCACAGAAAGACCCCAGGTCCAAACCAGGTATTGAACCCACAACCTTCCTGTTCTGAGACACCAGTGCTAACCACTAATCTGTCATCCAGACCTGGTTCATCACAACAAACAGGACTGAGACAAATTCARTAGAAAATAAGAAGTGGTCTATTGTCAGGTTTCTGCAGCTTCCTCAGTTTTTAAAACAATATTAAGCAGAGATTTCAGTAAATCACTAAAATCTTTGCTTTTTCTTTAGAAATCATTTCCGAAAGTTTTTTCTAATCAAAAACATTTGCATGAGAAAGAGACATAAAAAAATTCAAAAGAATTTCCCCAAACAGGACCTAAAAAGAACAAAGGAGACAATCAGCCTGTATTGTTTAACAAAATCAACCTCTTAATGTCAAACAGACATATTCTGTCCTGAATCATCAGCTGATTCATGCTCAGATATAAAAACTCTGCTTGTTTTACAGAAGTCAACAAAACCAAGTTGAGTCACGTTGACGTGTGGAGCGCCAAGTTAAAAATGAAATNGTGTCCTGTTAAGGCGAAATAAAAAAAAATGCAGATGTAATTAAAGTGTCATGATTATTAATGTTGTGGTTAGTCAAGGCCAGAGTGGCCCAGATGATAATTTAGCTCAAAGAGGTTAACTGATAAATTATTCACAATGTGTTTTGTTTGTTTTGTAAAATATGTATAAATATATAATATTAGTGTGTTATCAGCTAAAGTAATTGTGTCCTGTTAAGGCGAAATAAAAAAAAATGCAGATGTAATTAAAGTGTCATGATTATTAATGTTGTGGTTAGTCAAGGCCAGAGTGGCCCAGATAAACCTGCCAGGATCTGAGACTAAAACATGTTGGTTTGCTGTAGTTACTTAATGTTTCTGCCTTTAGCATCAARAAGAAATATAAAATCTGAAGGAAAATGTAGGAAGCTTGTTAGCTCTGATTATTAACACCAATACTTTAAAAGCTGTGAAGTAATAAAAGTTCATTATTTAGTTCTGAGATCCTCAGATTTACCAACAGGAGGAAAATATTAAAGTTATGACTGAGTTTTGAACCTGACTGACACCAGCCGGCACAGGAAGAACTCAGTATTTTATTCTCGTACACTGATTGATTTATTTTTGTGTAAAATATCTAGTTTTATTTAGGGGTCCAAGCCCGTGGAGCAGGGGGAACACAGCTGCAAAGCAGCAGCGTTTCCATGCATCCAGTGGAGCATGGAACCCTGTTGTATCTATTCCATTTATTTATTTATTTTTTATTATTTTATGTTTTTCCCCTGGAAAAAACTCATACTGCAGCCCAAACTGTAGATACTACAGAGAACATTTTAACATGGTGGYTAAAAAAAACTTACGAGTACAGAGTAGAAAAATAATCAGACCTATAGGGGGCGCTATAATCAATTTCTTTGCATTTGGTCCTCTAGCTTCTAAACCATAAATCACCACATTTTTTGGCTTAGAGCAACATAATCCCTGGACACAATCGGGTCACATAGTATAGGCCACGCTCATTTCCACCTAAATTTGTTTTCTACAGCGCAAAATTAGCAAAAATTATTTTTAGATTTTTTTTCAAAGGTTTAAATTCCAATCACCACAAAACTCACCATCCTATATCTAGTGTTCATTTTGGAGTTTTTTTCAGAGTTTCTTTCTATTTTAAAGGTAACATATCATGCTTCTTTTTCACGTCTAAATCATTCACTTATGGTCTATTTAAAATAAAACTGCAACACTTTGGTCTTAATTCCTCGTTTTTGTTGCTCAACAGACTCCTTGCTTTCCTTGCTTTTACCCCTGTTCTGAGCTGCGCCTCAGAGCAAGCTGTTTTGGTGCTGTCTCTTTAAATACAAGTGAGATTTTTCACACCCCGCCCCCTCCTGGTCGCTGAACGTTCGACTCCACCCCGTTCTGCCATATTTGTAGTTTCATAGCAACAACACAGTTATCTACTGACTAAAAACTGTTTTCAAGATAAAATAAGATAAGATAAAACTTTATTGATCCCACAGTCTGGAAATTTGCACATTACTGMAGCTTAATACAAGAGAGGCTGAGAAGAATAATGAAAGATTAATAAAAGATAACAAACAAAACCCCACAATATAAACATATGATATGTAGCAATGTACCAATGCACATATACACATATACATAAACACATACAGTATGCTTATTTATATGCATATATACGTGGTAAAGTACAGTACAAAAATGAATGTATATGAAGGTACATATTAGTAATGGCAGATGGCAAAAAAGTATAAGGATGTCAACAACAGTAGACTTGTCAATCCAGCCTTACATGTACAAGCCAGAGTCTGACCCAGTGCAAGACACTCAGAATGGCAAACCTGCAGAACTACGTCTTCAAACGAATGTGTCACAATGGTGTGTTATTTTTTTACAAACTGTCCTTACCTACACTGGGGAGCATTGTTAAACTAAAATACATGCATTTGAACTACTGTTTAACTACTGTTATATAA